GTGACTTAGGTATTTGTGAATTATGATGGATTGGTAGTGGGCTTAGGCATCGTGAATTATGATGGATTGGTAGTGACTTAGGTAACGTGAATTATGATGGATTGGTAGTGACTTAGGTATCGTGAATTATGATGGATTGGCAGTGACTTAGGTATCGTGAATTATGATGGATTGGTAGTGACTTAGGTATGGTGAATTATGATGGATTGGTAGTGACTTAGGTATCGTGAATTAAAGATGGATTGGTAGTGACTTAGGTATCGTGAATTATGATGGATTGGTAGTGACTTAGGTATCGTGAATTATGATGGATTGGTAGTGACTTAGGTATCGTGAATTATGATGGATTGGTAGTGACATAGGCATCGTGAATTATGATGGATTGGTAGTGACTTAGGTATCGTGAATTATGATGGATTGGTAGTGACTTAGGTATGGTGAATTATGATGGATTGGTAGTGACTTAGGTATCGTGAATTATGATGGATTGGGAGTGACTTAGGTATCGTGAATTATGATGGATTGGTAGTGACTTAGGTATCGTGAATCATGATGGATTGGTAGTGACTTAGGCATAGTGAATTATGATGGATTGGTAGTGACTTAGGTATCGTGAATTATGATGGATTGGTTTGTGACTTAGGCATCGTGAAATTTTGATGGATTGGTAGTGACTTAGGTATCGTGAATTATGATGGATTGGTAGTGACTTAGGCATCGTGAATTATGATGGATTGGTAGTGACTTAGGCATCGTGAATTATGATGGATTGGAAAATGACTTAGGTATCGTGAATTATGATGGATTGGGTAGTGACTTAGGCATCGTGAATTATGATGGATTGGTAGTGACTTAGGCATCGTGAATTATGATGGATTGGTAGTGACTTAGGTATCGTGAATTATGATGGATTGGTAGTGACTTAGGCATCGTGAATTATGATGGATTGGTAGTGACTTAGGCATCGTGGGAAATTTTGATGGATTGGTAGTGACTTAGGTATCGTGAATTATGATGGATGGTAGTGACTTAGGCATCGTGAATTATGATGGATTGGTAGTTTACTTAGGCATCGTGAATTATGATGGATTGGTAGTGACTTAGGTATCGTGAATTATGATGGATTGGTATGATTAGGTATCGTGAATTATGTTTGGGTTGGTAGTGACTTAGGCATCGTGGGAATTATGATGGATTCGTAGTGACTTAGGTATCGTGAATTATGATGGATTGGTAGTGACTTAGGCATCGTGAATTATGATGGATTGGTAGTGACTTAGGTAACGTGAATTATGATGGATTGGTAGTGACTTAGGTATCGTGAATTATGATGGATTTTGGGAGTGACTTAGGTATCGTGAATTATGATGGATTGGTAGTGACTTAGGTATGGTGAATTATGATGGATTGGTAGTGACTTAGGTATCGTGAATTATGATGGATTGGAATGACTTAGGTATCGTGGGAAATTTTGATGGATTGGTAGTGACTTTGGTATCGTGAATTTTTGATGGATTGGTAGTGAAATTAGGTATCGTGAATTATGATGGATTGGTAGTGACATAGGCATCGTGAATTATGATGGATTGGTAGTGAAATTAAGGGATCGTGAATTATGATGGATTTGGGAGTGACTTAGGTATGGTGAATTATGATGGATTGGTAGTGACTTAGGTATCGTGAATTATGATGGATTGGGAGTTTACTTAGGTATCGGAATTATGATGGATTGGTAGTGACTTAGGTATCGTGAATCATAAAGGATTGGTAGTGACTTAGGCATCGGGGAATTATGATGGATTGGTAGTGACTTAGGTATCGTGAATTATGATGGATTGGTAGTGACTTAGGCATCGTGAATTATGATGGATTGGTAGTGACTTAGGTATCGTGAATTATGATGGATTGGTAGTGACTTAGGCATCGTGAATTATGATGGATTGGTAGTGACTTAGGCATCGTGAATTATGATGGATTGGTAGTGACTTAGGTATCGTGAATTATGATGGATTGTAGTGACTTAAGGCATCGTGAATTATGATTGGATTGGTAGTGACTTAGGCATCGTGAATTAGATGGATTGGTAGTGACTTAGGTATCGTGATTATGATGGATTGGTAGTGACTTAGGCATCGTGAATTATGATGGATTTTGGTAGTGACTTAGGTATCGTGAATATGATGGATTGGTAGTGGGCTTAGGGGATCGTGAATATGATGGATTTGGGAGTGACTTAGGTTATCGTGAATTATGATGGATTGGTTAGTGACTTAGGCATCGTGAATTATATGGATTGGTAGTGACTTAGGCATCGTGAATTATGATGGATTGGTATGACTTAGGTATCGTGAATTATGATGGATGGTAGCGGACGTAGGTATTGTGAATTATGATGGATTGGTAGTGGCTTAGGCATCGTGAAAATTATGATGGATTTGGTAGTGGGCTTAGGGATCGTGGGAAATTATGATGGGTTGGTAGTGACTTAGGTATCGTGAATTATGATGGATTGGTAGTGACTTAGGCATCGTGAATTATGATGGATTGGTAGTGACTTAGGCATCGTGAATTATGATGGATTCGTAGTGACTTAGGTATCGTGAATTATGATGGATTGGTAGTGACTTAGGCATCGTGAATTATGATGGATTGGTAGTGACTTAGGTAACGTGAATTATGATGGATTGGTATTTGTGACTTAGGTATCGTGAATTATGATTTGGGTTTTGGGAGTGACTTTGGTATCGTGAATTTTGATGGATTGGTAGTGACTTAGGCATCGTGAAAATTTTGATGGGTTGGTAGTGACTTAGGCATCGTGAATTATGATGGGAATGGTAGTGACTTAGGTATCGTGAATTATGATGGATTGGTAGTGACTTAGGTATCGTGAATTATGATGGATTGGTAGTGACATAGGCATCGTGAATTATGACGGGTTGTAGTGACTTAGGTATCGTGAATTATGATGGATTGGTAGTGACTTTGGTATCGTGAAAATGATGGATTGGTAGTGACTTAGGTATCGTGAATTATGATGGATTTTGGGAGTGACTTAGGGATCGTGAATTATGTGGATTGGTAGTGACTTAGGTATCGTGAATTATGAGGATTGGTAGTGACTTAAGTATCGTGAATTATGATGGATTGGTGTGACTTAGGCATCGTGAATTATTTATGGATTGGTAGTGACTTTAGGGATCGTGAATTATGATGGATTGGTAGTGAAATTAGGGATCGTGAATTATGATGGATTGGTAGTTGACTTTTGGCATCGTGAATTATGATGGATGGTAGTGACTTAGGCATCGTGAATTATGATGGATTGGTAGTGACTTAGGCATCGTGAATTATGAAGGATTTGGGAGTGACTTAGGTATCGTGGGAAATTTTGATGGATTGGTAGTGACTTAGGCATCGTGAATTATGATGGATTGGTAGTGACTTAGGTATCGTGAATTATGATGGATTGGTAGTGACTTAGGTATCGTGAATTATGATGGATTGGTAGTGACTTAGGTATCGTGAATTATGATGGATTGGTAGTGACTTAGGCATCGTGAATTATGATGGATTGGTAGTGGGTTAGGTATCGTGAATTATGATGGATTGGTAGTGACTTAGGCATCGTGAATTATGATGGATTGGTAGTGACTTAGGCATCGTGAATTATGATGGATTGGTAGTGACTTAGGCATCGTGAATTATGACGGATTGTTAGTGACTTAGGTATCGTGAATTATGATGGATTGGTAGTGACTTAGGCATCGTGAATTATGATGGATTTGGGAGTGACTTAGGCATCGTGAATTATGATGGATTGGTTTGTGAGTTAGGCCATCGTGAATTTGATGGATTGGTAGTGACTTTGGGATCGTGAATTATGACGGATTGGTAGTGACTTAGGTATCGTGAATTATGATGGATTGGTAGTGACTAGGCATCGTGAATTATGATGGATTGGGTGTGACTTAGGTATCGTGAATTATGATGGATTGGTAGTGGACTTAGGTATCGTGAATTATGATGGATTGGTAGTGACTTAGGCATCGTGAATTAGATGGATTGGTAGTGACTTAGGTATCTGAATTATGATGGATTTTGGGAGTGACTTAGGTATCGTGAATTATGATGGATTGGTAGTGAAATTAGGCATCGTGAATTATGATGGATTGGTAGTGACTTAGCATCGTGAATTATGATGGATTTGGTAGTGACTTAGGCATCGTGAATTATGATGGATTGGTAGTGACTTTGGCATCGTGAATTATGACGGATTGGTAGGGGACTTAGGGATCGTGAATTATGATGGGTTGGTATGACTTAGGCATCGTGAATTATGTGGATTGGTAGTGACTTAGGTTTTCGTGAATTATGATGGATTGGTAGTGACTTAGGCATCGTGAATTATGATGGATTGGTAGTGACTTAGGTATCGTGAATTATGATGGATTGGTAGTGACTTAGGCATCGTGAATTATGATGGATTGGTAGTGACTTAGGCATCGTGAATTATTTATGGATTTGGGGTGACTTAGGGATCGTGAATTATGATGGATTGGTAGTGCTTAGGCATCGTGAATTATGATGGATTGGTAGTGACTTAGGCATCGTGAATTATGATGGATTGGTAGTGACTTAGGTATCGTGAATCATGATGGATTGGTAGTGACTTAGGTATCGTGAATCATGATGGATTGGTAGTGACTTACAAGGCAACATGAATAATGAATTATTTATTAAGAATATTATTACCATTATTACTACAAATTATATTGATTTTATATCTCCTCTTATTCAGAATTTTATTATTTTCATTGTTATTATTATTATTATTATTATTATTATTATTATTATTATTATTATTATTATTATTATTATTGGCATCATTATCATCAGTGATTTTAGCATTAAATAATACTGCAAAAAAATGTTGAATGGTTAAACATTTTTCCTGTCAAGCTGTCACATATCTTACTTCTTGTAGAAGACAGTTTTACCTGACTGCGAAGACGCTAAAGTGTCGCTGCAGTCGTGCGTTGATAGTGAAGGAGCCAGCAGTGGGGTTCATGGCTCCCACGTATTGCACGTTGTGTACCTCCTTCAAGGTGTGCTTCGTTCGGTCGTACCAGTGACCGTAATCCAGGTGCTGCCTGAGGAGTGTGTGGGGCTGAACTGTGCCGTACTGGTCGACCTGATGGGGGCAGAGAGGTGAGGCGTATTCAAAGAAGTGTTTGAAACGTGTGTACTCGTTAACCTCGTAGAACAGGGAGAAATAACGTAAGTAAAGTACTCACAGAGAAATGAGTAATGATTCACGTAGCAGAATAGAAGCATTAGGAAAGTCAATACATAACCTAAGTAAAATATGTTGAATCTCCTGGTGAGGTAAAGAGAGTAAAGGTAGCTAAAACACTACTTGAGAAGTGTACTAGTCCCTGCGAAGAAAAGTGCAAACAATCTTTATAAAATGATTTCTAGTTATTACTCAGCTGCAGGGTTTAGGCTATACTCCATTCCAAAATCATAAATGCAAGGTAGGGGCCGCCCTTGTAGACATTTTTATAGTTGTGCTACGTTGACTGACGCATCATTTTCAAACGTCATCTCATAATGATTTCCACATGGTGTTCCCAAAAAATATTTTGGGAGGCAGCGCCTCTTAGCGGTATCATATCTGACCGCTTCATATAATTTATTAGAAGTAAACCTAAGTTGCATACACTGTCTCCTGATAATGTGAGCATGAAGGTTTGAGCTCCCACATTCTCTGATGAGAAGACAGGTGCAAGAGCGTGAGTCTCCGCGCACCTGCCTCCTGAAGGGCAGGAGCAAGGGGTGTGAGCTTTCACACTTGCCACCTAACAATCTGTGTGCAGGTGTACGAGTTTTCCACTGAGTCCCCCACACCTGCCTCCTGAGGATGGTTGGAGGGGGATGAGTGCCCCACTTCTACCTCCTGAAAGGGTGTGAAAGCAAAAGTCCCCCTCATTTCCCTATTGTCAGTCAATGTGCAGGGGCATGAGTCTCCGACTGAGTCCCCATACCCACTTATTGTCAAGAATGGTATCGTGGCATGACTCTACCCTTCCTGCCTCCTGAAAAGACGGGTTCAGGGCATAACTCAAGGCAGGTGTGGAGATGATAGATACACACACAAGGAAGGTGTGAGGATGAAATATACACACACATGGCCGGTGTGAGGTTGAAATATACACACACAAGGCAGGGGAGAGGATGAAATATACACACAATGTAGGTGTGAGGATAAAATATACACACACAAGGTAGGTGTGAGGATGAAATATACACACACAAGACAGGTGTGAGGTTGAAATATACACACACAAGGCAGGTGAGAAGATGAAATATACACACAAGGCAGGTGAGAGGATGAAACATACACACAAGGTAGGTGTGAGGATGAAATATACATACACAAGGCAGGTATGAGGATGAAATACACACACACAAGGCAGATGTGAGGATGAAATATACACACAAGGCAGGTTTGAGGTTGAAATATACACACAAGGCAGGTGAGAGGATGAAATATACACACAAGGTAGGTGTAAGGATGAAATATACACACACAATGCAGGTGTGAGGATGAAATATATACACACAAGGCAGGTGTGAGAATGAAATATACACACACAAGGTAGGTATGTGAATGAAATAAACACACACAAGGTAGGTGTGAGGATGAAATATACACACAATTCAGGTGTGAGGATGAAATATCCACACACAGGGCAGGTGTGAGGATGAAATATACACACACAAGGCAGATATGAGGATGAAATATACACACACAAGGCAGATGTGAGGATAAAATATACACACACAAGGCAGGTGTGAGGAAGAAATATACACACACAAGGCAGATATGAGGATGAAATATACACACACAAGGCAGGTGTGAGGATGAAATATACACACACATGGCGGATATGAGAATGAAATATACACACACAAGGCAGGTGTGAGGATGAAATATACACAAACAAGGCAGGTATGAGAATGAAATATACACACACAAGGCAGGTGTGAGGATGAAATATACACACATAATGCAGGTGTGAGGATGAAATATACACACACAAGGCAGGTGTGAGGATGAAATATACACACACAAGGCAGGTGTGGAGGATGAAATATTTCACACCAAGCAGGTGTGAGGATGAAATATACACACATAATGCAGGTGTGAGGATGAAATATACACACACAAGGCAGGTGTGAGGATGAAATATACACATAATGCAGGTGTGAGGATGAAATATACACACACAAGGCAGGTGTGAGGATGAAATATACACACACAAGGCAGGTATGAGGATGAAATATACACACACAAGGCAGGTGTGAGGATGAAATATACACACACAAGGCAGGTATGAGGATGAAATATACACACACAAGGCAGGTGTGAGGATGAAATATACACACACATGGCAGGTATGAGGATGAAATATACATACACAAGGCAGGTGTGAGGATGAAATATACACACACAAGGCAGGTGTGAGGATGAAATATACACACACAAGGCAGGTGTGAGGATGAAATATACACACACAAGGCAGGTATGAGGATGAAATATACACACACACAAGACAGGTGTGAGGATGAAATATACACACACAACGCAGGTATGAGGATGATATATACACACACAAGGCAGGTGTGAGGATGAAATATACACACACAAGGCAGGTATGAGGATGAAATATACACACACAAGGCAGGTGTGAGGATGAAATATACACACACAAGGCAGATGTGAGGATGAAATATACACACACATGGCAGGTATGAGAATGAAATATACACACACAAGGCAGGTATGAGAATGAAATACACACACACAAGACAGGTGTGACGATGAAATATACACACACAAGGTGTGAGGTGTGAGTCCTCTATATTTGCAAACTGATTGCAACATGTAGCAGCCTAGATGAATAAATCTCATTAATTTGTGAAATAGCTAATGATCTAAAATACATAAGAGACTTCATTGATAAATCCTTTAATATTAGCAGAAATCCTTTTTACAATTCAAAATGGGACAACCAACCATATTCAACTAAAAATATGTTGGTTCTCCCATACCATGAAAACTTGGTTGATATGCCATCTTTTGATAAAAAGTTCTTGCTAATTGGCCAGTTTTACCTATTCGGGACATATAATAAAATATATTATAATATATATAAAATTTTATATATATTATAATATATATATATAATGTTGTGTGTGTGTGTGTGTGTGTGTGTGGGGTGTGTGTGTGTGTGTGTGTGGTTGTGTGTGTGTGTGTGTGTGTGTGTGTGTGTGGTGGTTGTGTGTGTGTGAGTGTGTGGTGCCTAGTAGGTAAAGCTGGTCCCAAACAATTAGCAAGAACTCATTTAAAATTAAGTTCTTTCTAAAATTTTCTCTTACACATTTTAATATATATATATTTTTTCCATTAATGTTAATATAAAAATTTATAATTTTTACACCAAAAGAATCTTAGAAAACTTACCTAACCTTATTATAACAAGCGCAATTTATTCTAGCCTAATTAAACTAAATATATTTTGGATACATTTAGAATAATTTAATACTAAAAAAACACAGTGAAATATATTCTTTTCGTTAGGTTCAGGATGATTTTTGCGAAATTATTGCATACACAAATTTTCTCTAGTTGTGGGATGTGATGGTGAGGTGTGGTGTAGACCCTTTATATGCTTTCCTTTGATGCATTCCTTTTATTGTTCCTTAATAATGTGAGTAGTCACGAAATAGCTTGGAATTTCATTTCTCTTTCACAGTGGTTGTTTTGTAAATTATATATTATATATATATATATATATATATATTATATATATATATATATTATATATATATATATATATATATATATATATATAATATTAATATATATATAATTATATATATATATATATAAAATATATATATATATATATATATATTATTTATATATATATATATAATATATGTATTTATATATATATATATACATATATATATATATATAATATATATATATATATATTATATATATATATATATATATATATATATATATATATATATTTATATATATATAAATACATATATTTATATATTAAAATATATATATATATATATATATATATTAATATATATATATATATATATATATATATAATAAATATATATATATATATATATTATATATATATATATATATATATATATATATATATATATATATATATATATATATATATATATATATATATATATATATATATTATAATATATTATATAATAAAAATATATATTACATACTATATATATATAAATTTATATTATATAATATATAATATATATTTATATATTATATATATATATATATATATTATATATTTCGTGTCCGAATATTTTAAAACTGTCAATTAGCAAGAACTCATTCAAATTAAGTCCATTCTAAATTTTTTTTCTAAAATTTTTTAATAATTTGATGTAAAAATTTATAATTTTGCACGAAAGGAACTTTTGAAAACTTACCTAACTTTATTATAACAAGCGCAATTTATTTTAGCCTAACCCAACTAAATATATTTTAGATTTGTTTACAATAATTTAATACTAAATAAACACAGTGAAACATATTTTTTTCGTTAGGGTCAGAATGCTTTTGACGAAATAACTGCATCCAAAAATTTTCACTTGTCCTATATGGCAAGATGAGCATTGCTATTTAAGCCAAGATCGCAAGTTCTGCCTATTCGGCACGACATATATATATATATATATTATATAATATATATATATATATATATATATATATATATATATATATATATATATATATATATGTCGTGCTGAATATGTAAAACTGGTCAATTAGCAATAACTCATTTAAAATTAAGTCCTTTCTAAAATTTTCTCCTATACGTTTAAAGATATTTTTTTTTCATTAATGTTAATGTAAAAATTTTAAATTTTGCACCAAAAGAATCTTAGAAAACTTACCTAACCTTATTATAACAAGTGCAAAAAATTTTAGCCTAATCCTACTAAATATATTCTAAATACTTTTACACTAATTTAATACTAAACAAACACAATCAAATATATTTTATTCGTTACGTTTAGAATGATTTTTGAGAAATTATTGCATACACAAATTTTCGCTTGTCCTATATGGCAAGATGAGCGTTGCTATTTAAGCCAAGATAGCAAATTCTGCCTATTCGG